GTATTTTTCATGAAAAAAACTTATTTTTTTAAACAAATAAAAATAACAATGAGAAGAGTGACATTGTTTTAATTTTTTGCAAATATCTTCAATATCTAGCAAATAATTTTGATTTCGTGAGCCCACGAGAGGGTCTTGGGGAACCCCTAGGGGTCCTTGGACCACACTTTAAGAAATACTGGCTTTAGGGTTTCCTAGATTTCTTACGTGCTGCTGAATTTCTTACTGCCAGCACCACCGTGGATCAAGACCCAGATTACTTGTCCGAGATATCTGTTTCCTTACAGCTTTAAGAAACTAAGTTGTGATTATTAGCAAATCAGCAGGTAAGCACAGATAGAAATCCTGGAGGAGGGGAATCACTGCTGCCAATTTTGAGGCAGTGGGTTAGAGAGTTTTAATTGATGGCCACAACCTTTATCCAATCACTGGGAAAATTAATGGCAAGAAGTAAGCTATTCTGAAATACGCAATACTGATTCTCTCATAACTGGAGATTTTCTTCATTCAGGAATTTAATCAGTGTAGTCAAAATATGTTATCTATTACTGTTTGTTAATGTGAGCTGTAGCAGTCATTCTTTCCAAAATACTGAAAAGCTGTTTTTCAAACTCAATAATGTAATAACCATTTCCTAGAATACAAGCTTGTGGGTTAAACATGGTAACTAAATTGGACCACCCAGCGCTTTGGGTTATTTTTAAATTGGGCTTGGCAGAATGTCTTTTAAGTGAGAAATTTAATTTGAATGTCCTTCCTTTGCAGAAAGTCATTCCCTTCACAACACGCCACCCTGGCAGCATTTGCAGCTGTGTATGTTTCGGTGAGTAATTAAGCCTCTTCGTATTAATGTGTACAAGAGGGGAAAAAATCAGAATGTCATTCCTTCCCTTGTGCAAAGCAGCCTGATAAGGAGAAGAAATGTAACGGCACAGGGGGAACCACACCACCTTCATTTTTTCAAAGAAGTGAAATATAAAAATTGGAGATTAAGGAGAATTGGTAGAAGCACTATTTTTCTTAAATATCCTGTCTTTTGGAATGAGGAAAATACTTTTAAAATCAGTGTAGTGAAGTGTGGCCAAATCACAGTAATACAAATGTCATATATGTCTACTCTTAAATAACATCCATTGTGCTCAGTGGACTAATGTCCAGGTAAGAGAAGCATTTTGTGACAGGTCACAAAAATCTACAACTTACCCTTTCACCATTAAATGTTGATTTTTCTGCATGAAATGAAAGGGACATTTTCATGACTGAAAATATATTGCATGCCGTCAGAGAACAAACTAATATGAGAAATGAGATTATTTCAGTTTATGTCAGTTTTCTAATTTTTGGACCTAACTCACTGAAAATTCCACATGAAGGCACATGGCTGTCTCATATCGCTTTTGACACATATTATTCAATGGGGCTTATTACCTGTTGTAAGTGGACATGGCATGGGATTGCACTTTTTTTTCCTGTAACCACCAAGAGCTTTTCTCACAATGGATGGAGGATTTAATTTCTGAAATATTTGGATTACTCTTAACTATGGTTCTTTGCTGCTATTAAGCGAAGATGTCACCTCATCCAGACTACATCTAGATATCTCCATTATCATTAGTAGGAAGTAGTGATGTGAGTGGACAGACAGATTATTTCTGATGCTATTCATGGGGGGGGGGAGGTGGAAGTGGGGAGCAAGACTGTCATTGAAGTTAGCTTATCATATGGGGGATGGTCCTTCTCCTTCTCCAAAGGCTTTGTCGGATAAGCAACTCTGATCTGGTTCCATTAATACTTGAATTTTCCATAATACCTGCAAATAAATCCTCTGGCTGATTCATGCTGACAGGTGCTCAGTTCACACACTGAGAAATTACTCAGATGGGAGGCTGTTTGGATCTCTACAATCCATTGAGTCAGAAGATAATTTGCAGATGGACTTCTCCTCACCTAGTCCGACACTCTCAGAGCCAGATAGAAGATATTAGCTGGAGGAGCCACTGACCCTCTCCCAACCCATTCACTCCAGAAACTGAGCTATTCGTTTTAGTTTGTAAACTAGCAATAAGACCATTTCTATAGCTCCCCTCACTGTTACCATCACCCCAAGTGGTGGTTGGCACTTTCCATTTTTTCCCCAAATTCCAAATAGCAAGGAGAAAATTCTTGACTCTTTTATCTCACAACATATCAACTGAATCTAGGAGCTTTTTTTTCCCTTTCAAAATAACTCAAGCAATATTTGTTCGTTTTCCTTTATTACCTCCTTTGAAAAACAGGAAAGGGAAGAATGCCATTCCATGGGGAAAATGTCACTAAATTTTAAAAATGTATTTCTTTTAAAGATGTACTTCAATTCTACGCTAACCGACTCCTCTAAACTCCTGAAACCACTTCTAGTCTTTGCTTTTATCATCTGCGGAATCATATGTGGCCTGACACGCATCACCCAGTACAAAAACCACCCTGTTGATGTTTATTGTGGCTTTTTAATAGGGGGTGGAATTGCCCTCTACTTGGTAAGTAGAATGCCAGTGTTCAGAAATGCCTACAGGTCTTATAAATTAAGAGGTTTAATGTGATTTTAGATTTCTCATATATATTATTCAATTTGACTCTCTACCGTGTGCTTCTGAAAATGAACAGATGTCCTTTAGAAATTGAAAGGGCACTGATAATCTGTTCATATAGAAAATATAATATATTTAGAGCTGTATAAGCCTTCAGGAAACTCACTTGGGCAATCTTAAGCAAATCACTCTCTCTTTAGTATGAAATTGGCGAGGGGGAGCAGAACTGTGTATGTTGCTGCATGAAAGTTGTCCTCATTTAGAGTTTTGGGAATCATGGATGAAATATCATGGTGTTTACTATAACCTAGTTCAAGTTAGTCATTTTCCTGGTATAAGTAGATAATTTTACAGCAAGAGTGACTGGCAGGTGCTATGTCCCCCCTGTTTTTTCAGAAATTATTTTGATTAAACAATTAATACATGGAAAGTTGGCCCACTGCAAAGCTAAGTGTCAAACTGCAGAACCTTCTTGATTTCCAAGAATTTCTATGGATCCCATCTAGACATCCTTAGAACAATTAAAATACTTTGTGATTCATTTGGAAATACACATAGTGTTTCCGGAATGTGTCTGTGTCTGTGTGTGTGTGTGTGTAGTAAGCCATGATAGTAGAGAGCATCGTGAGGGTGCTACAGAAAGTCACGGGGAGCAACCTTGACTATACAGGTCCCTTGCATAACTCTTTGGGACATTATGTTAAAGATGTGTGGAGCAATGATCATAAGCAATAAATATTTTACTTCAACCCCTTGGTGCTATTCACATGTTCTGCAAAACAAAAGTTGAAATTTTGTGTATTACATGAAACTCTTGCCGCATGTTCACAAACAACCAATCTTCTGCAGTGCCTGTAAATTTGCTTATTTTTCATAGTACATTACTACATTTCAAACCAGCAAGGAAGAAAAGATTGCAACCTTATGTAGGTTATGTAACATGTTATGCAAATCACGGAACTTCTTGAGAGTACATAAAATTAACAACTTGGCTTTAAAAACATTGGAAATTTCTAGAAGTTTTGAATTTTTCCCCATGGCAAATTCCTTTGAATCCCTACTCCTACATCCATTTAGATAAAAGTCTACACCAGTGTTTCTCAAGCTTGGCAACTCTAAGATGTGTGGACTTCAACTCCCAGATTTCCCCATCCAGCATGGCTGGCTGAGGAATTCTAGGAGTTGAAGTCCACACATCTTAGAGTTGCTAAGGTTGAGAAATACTGGTGTAGACATTTGTCTACACAATGCTGATGCTTAACTTGATCAAAGCAGCTGTAGTGGCTATGGTTACTTCAAGCAACCTGAGTGCACATTTGAATAAAGCTGAACAATTCCTTGATGACCATCAGGTTTCCTGCTTTGTTCCTCCCTAGACAAATGTGTGTTCTGTCCTTTTTTCAACAGAACCCTGAATGTGCAAATAAAGCAAAACTCAAGCTTTTGCTGTGGTTTTACACAAATTGGTTTGAAACTGATTAATTTGTTTCTCATCAAGTTGGTATATGACTTGACTATTAAGCAACAGAAAGGGCACCACCTTTGAGCAGAAAATTAATTTATTCATTGAGCAATAAATCAAGCTACGTGACTCTAAAATTAAAAACAGATGTTTTGCATTATTTTCAAACAGCTGAAGGAAAGGAAAATATCAATATTTATGTGTTATTTTGCAAATAATCCTTTGCATTTAGGCTTGGTCATATTGATCACTTTTCATGTTGTGATTATGCCTACGCATGTTTATTGGAGAACTAAACAGAAATCTTACGAACTGGGCATTTGTTATTTGTTCTCCTTTCACATGGTTCTGATCCTTTCAACCTACTGGATCTCTAAATCCCACTGAACCTTACCATCCAGTTTTTTACTTGGATGTTTCACTCTGAAGCATATCACCCTATTTGGCAAGCAACTTCTGAAGAAGAGGGGTGTTTCAGTCATTTGCAATGCCTAATATTGTTGTTGTTTTGGAAAAGAAAAAAATATAACTGGGCAAGTCCTGAGTCAGCTCTCTGCAACCTAAGTGCCTCCTAGATACTGTATGTGGACTTCAATTCCCAGAATTCTCAGCAATGGCCATGCTGGCTGGGGAATTCTGGAGGGCACTTGGTTTGGGAACTGTTATATTAAGCCTTCAACCTGCTTTAGCTATCTCAAGATTCTCTCATACCAGTAGTAAATAAAGAGAGGGGGGTGGAGAATTCCTCTAGATTAGCTTACTCCTGCCCTTTTCCCACATTCTTCCGGGGGGAGGGTGTGCATCCTTTTCTGTACCGAGGGTCACACTTGCCCTTTGAATGGCATACCATAGCTTTCCTTCAAAAGTTGTGTGAGACCGAGACAAAACAAAATGCTCAGTTCCCATGTATTGAATAGTTCTCTCCTTCTGTCACATTTCAACTTACAATTCAGCAGCACATTTTAGAGGGCTCTGGGGGCCAGGACCAGCCTTGGAGGCTTCTTATGGTGCTTTGTATTTTATGCATCTGGCCATAAAAGGAGAGTTCCCACACCATTCTCTTATGCTCTTGTTAAACTGCTGAACTTTGTTGATTCTGGTTCTCCTCCTTAGTGTTAGGAGAAAGTGTGGCTGTCAGAATCAAAAAGCCCTTTAAACAACTGAACTGTTCTGAGGTTGGTCTGAAATATTACAGCTTCTTCTTAACTCAAGAAATGTGGTAAAGGAGTGGAGGTATCTACTGATGTCTTTTCATTTGCCTTTTCCTATTCTAGATACTGGTGAAACTGTTCCTTAGGGATCTTGCAACAGGGAGAGACAGATTCAGATAATCACTAGGAAGGATATGTTTAATCCCACTATGAAAAAATCCATTTCTGGCAGATATATTAGCAGTTTTAAGAGCCTCACTCCATACCCACAACACTGAGCTTGAGAAATCTAACTATCCTTTACCAAAGTGTCTATAAATATTGACTTTTCCATAAAAGGATTCTATGTTTTCCTTCAAATACCAGGGTCTGTATGCTGTGGGGAACTTTCTGCCAAGTGAAGACAACATGTTCAATCAGAACATACACAGAGAGCCATTGAGACCTTTGCCTGACCTAAGCCAAGATCCCAACCGAATTTTACCAGGGAAAAATGGTAGTAGTAATGATGCCATCACCACTCATCATGTGGAGAACATGTTGAACAGGAACCATAGAGACACCGGCTCCCTGACAAATCTCAAGAGAGCAAATGCTGATGTTGAGATTATAATGCCGCGAAGCCCGATGGGAAAGGAAAACATGGTCACCTTCAGCAACACCTTGCCAAGAGTCAACACGCCTGCAATAGAGGAATCAGCTCGACGGAATGCGACCATACATGCATCTATGGATTCTGCCCGCTCAAAACAACTCCTCTCTCAGTGGAAGAACAAGAATGAAAGTCGGAAGCTGTCCTTGCAGGTAATTGAGACTGATTCTGGACAGTCGCCACCTAGGGCCATTGAAATGAGGTCAAGCTCTGAGCCATCTAGAGTGGGTGTGAATGGAGATCACCATGGTCCAAGCAGTCAGTATCTGAAAATTCAACCTGGTAGTATGCCGGGCTGTAACAGTGCTGGCCTCTCTGGGGGACCCAGGGTTTCTATTCAGTCACGTCCAGGATCGTCCCAGCTTGTGCATATCCCTGAAGAGACCCAGGAAAATGTGAACACATCTCCAAAAACGAGTTCTGCTCGAGCCAAGTGGTTAAAAGCTGCTGAGAAGACAGTTGGATGCAGAAGTAACAGCCAGCCAAGAATCATGCAGGTGATAGCCATGTCAAAGCAACAAGGCGTTCTTCAGGGCAGCCCAAAGAGCTCTGAGGGCAGTACAGTCACCTGTACAGGAGCGATCCGCTACAAGACCTTGACAGATCACGAGCCGAGCAGTATTGTAAGAGTAGAGGCCCACCCTGAAAACAGCCGTCCCATCATTCAAATGCCCTCAGAAGGAGAAGGCAGCGGCTCCTGGAAATGGAAAGCCCCCGAGAAGGGAAGCCTCCGCCAAACATACGAGCTCAATGATCTCAACAGAGACTCTGAGAGCTGCGAATCTTTGAAAGACAGTTATAGTTCTGGGGACCGGAAAAGAAGCAATATCGAAAGTAGCGAGCACCACCATCATGGGATCACAACAATAAGGGTGACCCCCGTCGAAGGCAGCGAGATCGGTTCAGAGACCCTGTCCATTTCCTCTAGCCGTGACTCGACCCTTCGAAGAAAAGGTAACATCATTTTAATTCCGGAAAGAGGCAGCAGCCCAGAGAATACCAGGAATATTTTCTACAAAGGAACCTCTCCAACAAGAGCTTACAAAGAATGAGGGCTGGTGCTTCAGCCAAAACACGCCACTACAATCAATACTGTTTGGGTGCAAGCTTTGTACTCTCTTTATTTTTAGAGCTGATGCCGAAATATTCTTGATGTGCCAACTATTGACCATCAGCCTGACTGTTTATGGATGTTGCTGATGTGTAGTGATTGTGCATGAATTTGTGAATTTCATGTCGCGGGGGGAAAAAGCACAATGCAAGAACCTAATGAAGGGGAGCAAGCTTTTGTTTTCAGATTCAAATCTCTTTCCAGTGGGAACTAGGTCAGCAAAAAGAGCAGTCTTAACTCTAGACAGCTTATTTCCTGAATGTGCCAACTTTTCAACTTATCTCTGTTTCATGATAAAAGGGAAGCAATTTTTTTAAATAAGCAAAAGCTGTACCAGAGTTGTACTTCATCTTTGCGGGTTTTGCACCAAAATTTAATACCAAATGGTGCTGATTCTAACTTTACATTTTTAGAAAACTTCTATTCCTGTGCAGCTCTCTAAACACAAAACATTTTGATGTGCAACTTCTTTCCAAGTATTTCAGCTGAAAACACCATGCTAACTGCATTCATTTAGAATAGAAAAGTATCAACAGCTTTGCTATAGTGCAATTTTCATCTCAAATGATTGCAAAAGTTTTGTGTAGCTCTTTGAAAGGTTTTCTGGATCCAAAAAGAAAAAATAGGTGATATTCCATGAAAGTTGAATAATTTTCTAAATTGGTTTAGTTTTTTTGCTTTTCTCCAAACTTTGTTTAATTACAGGTGCTATAGAGGTAGAGGCTGCTTTTTAATGCAATAGGTTGGGATTAGTTTAAATATTGTGCATTTTTTTTCAAGTTGGGGATCTCTTACAGCACTAATTCAAATTCTTCATTTTGATCCGGTTCTTAGTTTGCCTCGTTGCTTACATTTTTCTTTTTTTAATTCATTGTTGATTAGCTAGCATTTCACCCTGATCACTGCCACTGTGTTGTAACAGTGCAAATAAATCTTGCAAGTTAGATTGTCTAATCAATTAGCAGGAGTGGCCTTAAACATAGGAATGTCATAGACAAGACAAAGGACTCCTGTTATTCTTTTTCCAAAAACTGGGTTGTGCTTCTGCTTCCAGAAGTGACCTGAATTTAATGAAGGCTAGAAGATGCAAGGCAATCATAATAGGCTTATCTTAATCTCCCATGGGCTGGTAAAATAGTCAATGAAAATGAGAACTGAAATTAAGTTGCTGAATTCTCTCCCAGATGACGGTTTGCTATCTTAAATACTTAAAGCGAGATTACATTAGGTAGCCTATCCCCTTTTCTTCTGCATCAGTATTGATCTTCTGCCTCCCTCTGAGTTCCTAATATACTAAATAGGATTTGTAAGTTCTGATGACAATGAAAGCAATGGTTGAGGTATCTTGTAGCTGGCTACTTGGTGGCCTCTGACAACCTGATATATTGGATAACTCTCATATCCAATGGATGGGCTGGTCTTGTCATTTGGGGACAACCACAGATGTAACCTATATTCAGACTCACACAGAGACATTGTCTCATCCATCTGGAATATAAAATGACCATTCAACTCCTTATAGCATTTCATCTGATCAGTCTTTATTTAAAAAAAAATACCATGCCCTGTAACAATCATCAAACAAATATAGAAGTGCTGCATTGTAGTACCACCACTCGTATTCAGTTAGCATAATTTTCAGTTAGGAATGTAATTTTTTTTTTCCTTACCATGAACACATCTTGAGGAAGTGGGATGTTGCTGGAGTCCCAGCCACCCGGGGAAAAAAACTGGCCAAATGAAATATCAAAGAAAAATAGGATTTCTTGGAATAATAAATTGTGGACAAATTGATTTATTTTCAGTCCATGTCACATCCTATGTTCAGTTTTAGATCTCATCCGTCCTGTCTCTGTAAATTCTTATATCCTGCGTGAACATTTCAAATTAAATAGATTCTTAGAAAACACATTTCTTACTTTCCCACAAAACAGGTATCTTAAACCTGTTTTTTAAGCTAATAAAACTGTGCCAGCGTATTCAGGAAATATGAACCCCAACTAATAATGCAATAGCTGATCTGCACATTAATCCTGGAGATGAACTATGTGGTTAGTTCACATCAAAATACTCAGCCAGGAAAGAAGATTGAGAGGTATCTGACATCTATCATTTGGAAAACCCAGTCCAATTGACTTGAAATCCTTACGTTCTGGAAATCTAAATGGGCCAACATCAACTGCAGTTACTCTATTATGTTTCCCATCCTCCCTCCAAAGAGCTCTGAGTGACGGTTTATCCTCACTGCTATCCTGTAGGTCTATTTATTGGAAACATGTTAATCTTTCTTGTTAATAACCAAAACCTTGTACATAATACAAGAACAATCTGGTAATAATCATGCAATAAAGCTATAGTATCAGCACTGGAAGCCACTAAAAGCACTTCAGAAGCAAAATGCAAATACTGTATTTTCTACTTTTTAAAAATGGTAGGGAGGGCAAATGTTAGATTCATATCCCACTTTTCTACCAGGAGCATAAGGCAAAAAACCCTCTCCCATTCCCCCCCCCCCCGCCACAATATCCCTGTAAGAAAAATTCAGCTAAAAGAGTCAACAACAATAACACAATTGGTGTAAGCTGGCTTGAGTTCTTACATTAGCAGAAAGATTTGGTGGAAGTTTTAAAATAAATAAAAATAAGAACAACCCCTCTCCCCCAAGTGGGCCGTTTTGAGCAGGAGAGATTGAGCCTCTTGTGCAAATGTTAACCAGATATATTCATACTGAGATCTGTGAGCTTTGTATAGGCAGGTCCTTTTGGGCCTTTAAAGATTAAAAACAACACCTTGAGCTAAGCCTGGAAAGCAGTTGGCCACCAGTTCAGTAATGTTAAGTCAAAGAGATATTATCATGATGCCTTGTACCTTAGCAGCTCCTCTTCACGTCTTCTAGTTTTACTTAGGGCAAAATGCGTACACTAGGTATGAGGCAACCAAGCATGGACACACCTAGTAAAAAGGTACCAGGGCTAGGCTAGATCCCAAGGTTAGCCAAAGAATGTCATAAAGGAGCAGGGATTTAAGCCTGGTTTTCTGCAATGAATTTAACCCTATCTAACCTATTCTCACCAGTTAGCAGGGGCTCTCCGGGTCTCCAGGCAAAGGTCCTTACCAGCTCATTTACCTGAGATTCTTCCACTCAGCATGACAGCGGTGAAGCTTAGCCTTCAGCCCTGTAAAAGATGTGGTCTTCTAGAAGAGTGTCCTTTTTAGATAATCATTCAGAACTCTAACGTTAGTTGCACTGCAAGCAGTTATTTCTGTGCATACCTCACAATAGCACCGAGGAGGTAACATCTCTCACTGGATTAGATGGAAAGGAAGGCATTATTAATGGCACCATTTAGAACAACTGAGAATTATGTCTTGAGATATGCCTCTCAAAGCACACCTACATTCCATTTCCTCCAGTCCCAAATTGGTCATCACACATACCTAATCCCGATCCAGCTCAGGAATAAACAATGCAATCCTGATTGCTGGATGCAGGCATCCAGCCAATATATTTTTATGTCCAACACTACTGTACCAATCGCTCCTTGCTTTATGTTGAAAATTTGATAAGGGTCCCCCTGCTAAAGCATCCACGCTTTTCCAGAGGAGGGCTCACATCTAGTCTTTAACTAGTGTACCATGCCATCAGCTGCACTCAAAGAAGTGGGTAGGACCAAATAAATTAAATTTGATTTAGATGTCGGTATAATTAAAATTTCATATACCACATACACCCTAGATGATTATTTCCCACGTGTTGTAGAATTTCCCCTTTTCTCACATTAAAAATTGCAGTTTGGTGGCTAGTTTGAAGAGGCCCTGGAGCTGCTTGCTGGGAATATAAACAGCTCTGAGGCTGCCTTCTTGCCCTGGCTGGATTGGAGGAATGGTTGTCCATTTACAGAATTTAATGTTAAATATGGAATTTAACATTTTCCCCAAAGGAAAGACTTTTCAGATTTTTGCCTAAGATTAAGTATTCTTACTCTTACCAACTTTGATGAATTGTTGGCTTGGGGGCAGGGTGGGATTACAATTTAGTTTATTAACACCAAGCTGTAAAATCTTCAAAAGACTTAAATAGAACACAGTCATTGCTAGGCTAGAAATATAAGATACAGGTGTTAATAAAATTAATGCTAGTATCCTAGTCATGTGTACTCAGAAATAAGTCCTACTGAGTTCAACAGGGCTTGCCCCTAAATGAATAGATAGAGGGTTGTGATCTGAACAACTGCAATAATACAAGGACTCAAAAATAGCCATTCTAGATAAACATCTCATTTTTTCTGTTGCATGTCTATGTTTCTGGATGGAGTCGTTGCTTTTCTTTTCTTTAATTATCCTTTTTGCTTTGCTTTCGTTAGTCAACCACATATAAATTAATTGTGAGTTGTTACTTGGACTCTAAACTTTGCTGCACTCTTTCAATTGCAGTGATACTTTTCCTATCTAAACTTTTCCTACTTACCAGCCAATAATTTTAAAAGCACTTGCAGAATCATTGAAATTGCATTCTTTACTTAAAATACTGAAAATACTTTTTTACACAGAAGTGCCAAAGGCTACTCTTTTTAATAATGGCTTCTCAGTAATTACATTAAAGAACAAAAAAAAATGTAATAACAATATACATTGAAACTCTAACTTCTGTTTGTATATCATCTATGAAGCCTTTTGTAAAATGAATCTTTGTTTACATTCCACTGATACCTTAATTTCAAACAAATCAAATAAATTGACAGGTGGCATCTTCAAATTTTTTTCTTACTTGCTGAAAGGGGCACCAATTTCTTTGTTAGGCTGTGCTTTACTAAGAAAAAAAATTGGGTAAAATACAGAATATGTTTTTAAATGAGAATTCTATATAAAGTATTGTGTTCTAATAAAATGTTATGCACTGTTTTAAAAAACAAAAAAACGAACTTTGTAAATTGCTATAAATGTATTTTGTTAAATAAGTACAAAATTCAATGCTACTGTGTGAGTTTATTGTGCTAATATCATTAAAAATGAATATTAAATTCCGCATTGAAGTAGAGAGATCTTATTTGTGTGTCCCAGAAGTGTTTAGATGTTTACCTTGTTCCTTTCTTTCCCCATATAATTGAATATATATGCCCTTTTCTTACAAGAGACAGAAAATCAAATTAGTCTTTTTTTTTTTGTTTTACAGGTACAAAATCTGTGCTTTTAATGGGTCAAAATCAGTACCACATTTGAGCTCCCAGCCACACAGCAGTTAAAGAACAAGATAAAGCAATCCTCGGGAGTGGCCAGGGGACGGGGGGGGGAATCAAAAGAGTCAAGATGGTGACCACAACTGTGTGATCAAAGCCCCAGCCCTTTTTATGTGTAAAAAGGGATGGAGCTTCAGTCACAGCCACCATGTTGACTTTTTTGACCCCCTCACTTGTAGCCACACTTGACCACCCTAATCCAGCACAAGGAATGGCTTTAAATCTAGTCTTTTCAAAGCTAGATACTCAACATTGTCCTGCCTTAATAGACAAAGGGATGGACCTGCCCACTTATATAAAGAAGCTACATTTTCATAAGAAACTATTTCAGACAGAAACCTAACCCGAGCTTTTTATATAAATACTCATTAAAAGGTTTACTTGACTGTGGAAAAACTTAGAAGTTCAGCTAAAATGTATGCTTAGTTTATTTCTTCAATTAGGATACCAATGTATGTTGCAAACTCATTCCATAAGGAGACCTTTCTGGACATTAATCAACCACAGAAGTCTATAAAATTATCTTTTGCTTGTTATTTAAAGAAAACTTCAAATAAACCCCAGAAGGGAGAAGCCAAGCTGCACTATCATTGTTAATCAGCTAATCTTGACAGAACTTTCTATGCACAATTTGCAAGATGAGTACAGTTTAAACCACAAATCAAGATTCACAAGCAGGGCCCGGGCAATCTAACCCAGCATAACTGCAAAAAGAGAGAAAGCAGCCAAGATATTCCAGAGAAGTCAAGGAAACAAAACCAGAGGAAGGCAAGTGGTTTATTAAATGGTCATCTATATTAGAAGTGAACAGGAAAATGGGTCTGCAATTTCATCTCCTTGGAATCTGTCCTCATAATGCTATTATCTATCTGCAATATTGAAATACTGACGTAAATTCAAACTACCATATGCTGAAACACGTAACTTTGTAGTACAGTTGACTAACAAACCCTATACAGCAGGGCTCCTCAACCTCAGCAACTTTAAGATGGGTGGACTTCAACTCCCAGAATTCCCCAGCCAGCCATGCTGGCTGGGGAATT